TGTAGTAAAATATATAAAATGCTACCTGAAAACCAGAAAGAGCTAGATTCCTGTCTTGCATGTGACAAGTAGTGGCTGTGTGATGCTGGACAAGTCATTCAACCCTTTACTTTGCCTTCAAACTAAGAATAGAATTTTCAGAGAAGTTACAGACCTGCATTGGTAGGAGAAGTTTTCTTATCTTGATCATTTTAGCCAATGAAATGACAAGTCTAGTCTCCCTCCCTTTCACCTCTATACCTTCGGATACTTTCTTGTCCATCTCAGGGCTCTGAATTCACTGAATTCAGCATTGGCCCTCTTACTATCTTCTCATTTTTTTCAGATTTCAATTCATTGTTCCACAAGTAGCATTGCTGTGGATAGACTACTCTGAGTCTGATCCGATACGCCATATGAAAGACAAGCAAAACAAAACAAAAAGAGAAGAAAATTTTCTTGTTAGGAAATGCATCCATGAATCTTTTGGTTTGATATCTAACCATAGCTCTCCAGTGCCTTCCAGTGCTTTGACTGAAAGGGCACATGTTTAGGGAATTCAAAGTATCATTTAGCATGAGTGGGTATGGAAGGAAAAGTAAATAATGCATCATGGGGGTGGTTAAGTATTTATGTTAGATGTTGTCTTCCTTTACTCCAGTGACTCCTTTGCTTCTGATCCTTCAGTCCAAAAATGGTGGAAGCCTTCCTGATATTCTCTATTCTTTCAGCTATACATAAAGGCAGAATTCCCCATTTCACTTTTGAAAGACAACAAAGAAAGGGGAGTGAAGAGGAAAAAAGAGTCTGGTGTGAGAGAAGGTAAATTCTGAAAAAATGAAAAAAAGTAAGGGTAGAACAGCAAGAGACAGTAATGAAAAAAGTTAAAGAAATCAGGGTGTAATGATAAAAAGGAGATTAGTGTTAAGGAGAGGAGCAGACAGTACAGTCTAAAGATGTTTATGGAGAAATGCATAGAGATAGTAAAGGAATGGATTTAATTGGAAAAGAAATAGGGAGCCACAAAGACTTGAGGGGTAGGGATTGAGGGAGAAAGGAAGATTTGAAGTTATCTAAGACTATATTATATTTCAAGTTATGTTGCAATAGTCCTTCCTGAACACCCCATTTACCCAGGTTATAATATTCACCCTCACAACAACTCTTATAAATTTTCCTTGGGGTCATTCAACTCCTATTTTTTTTATTGAATTTATTGAAGTGGAGTCATTGTAGATGCAGAAGGGAATAAACAGAAGCCCTAGATTTATGGACATCACTGGAATTTCTTTACTCCTTCACAGAAAGGAAACTTCAACTTTCAAGGCAGTCCAGGGAACTGGGAGGGAATAATGGTCTGGGACTACAAATGCACTTGGGTAAGTTGGAGGGGTCCTCTAAAGGTTCTACATTCCAATTCTCCAAATTGACAGCTAGATACAGGACACCTGTGACAGTTCCATGAAAGGACCTGCCTACCACCACTCAAAATGAAGACCAGGACCTCTTGGCTGCAGTACCCAAGGGAGCAAGAGCTGTGGGCAGGGAAGAGAAGGGCTATCAATAATTCCATGAAAAAAGAAAACAATAACAACAACAACAACAACAAAAATCACCTGCTCCCAAGAAAGGAGACCAAAGGGCTCCACAAGCCTTAATAAGGCACCAGGAAGCTGAGTCTAGTCAGGAGAAACTACCTCACACTGATTGGGGTTAATTGCTTCAGTTCTTAGGAGTTTCTAAAAAGGAGTTGATTTTGAGTCAGTCTTCCTGGGGAGTCAAAAAAGCAGCTTCATGTTTAGAGGTCTAAGGCCTACCTCTGGGTGATCTGAGTTGTTCTTTCTGGACCAGAATCTTCCAGAGGAGCCAGGTATTCTCCCCCACAGCACCTCCCCATTCCCTTCACAGAGCAATTAGGTGAGCTCTACTTCTTTCCTTCAGCTTGACTTTCATAGCTGAGCTGAGGATTACAGACTAGGCCCCAAAGTCATCTTGGTGAATCACCTCTTTCATCCTGAAGCTCTTCTTCAGGGACAGTCCAGGTGAGCACAGAAGAGGGGCTGGCAGAGCTCAAGGTAAGGGATGAGAGCAAAAGTCAACAACATTACGTCTGTGTCTCAGAACAGGGGTTCAAGGTAGGCTGCATAGTGCTTGATGGGCTTGTGTTCAGGAGGGGCTAGGTTCTGCTTCTAACACTTATTACTGGTTTCCTGGTGAATGTCATCTCACAATTTGAAGGCTCAGTTTTTTTTCCAACTTCAATATTGAGGGGAAAGAGGTAATAATAATGGTGGAACTATTCTTTCAGGCTTAAAGGAATTAAGACTTATAAAATGTATTGCAGTAAATTAAGCGGTAAAAAGTACATGTTTATCATTTTTTTATTGTTGTAAAAACTGGCTTATTTGTAAATACTTGTAGGGTAGATAGTCCCAATATTATTCTCAATTTATAGATGACAAAACTGAGAGTAAAAAAAAAAAAGATTAACCGAATTTTTTTCAGCATTTGAAGCAAGTTGTCTGCAATTCCAAGGTGAAGGTTCTATCTGGTACATACAGTTGGATCCTTAGTAAAAGAACACTGCTCAGTTATATGGACTTGGATGTACTTTTCCATACAATTCATATTGGGGTTCTAGGATACCATTATTCTTCTTTAATGACACTCCTTTAATTTGGAGTATTAATGAATTCCTGCACTTCCTTTAACCTTCCTTTAGGTGGAAAACAAAATAAAACAAAACAAAACAATAAAGTACCCTAGGCTTGAGTAATGGACAGAAAGGTTCTTTAACTTTCCAGCAAATCCTATCTAGAGGCTCTGATAATCGTATCTGCAGTTTCTTAGCTTCTGTTAATGACTGAAACTTGGAAAAAGTGATTGATAACTCCCACCACAAGTGTTACCTCCCAATGAACACTGGGTATTTAACCAAGTGTTAAATGCCCTTCTGGGCATCAAAATTGTATTCAATATGAAGCACAAAGTCCTCTGGTGGAAATATGAAGGAAAATGGTATATCTGAGTTTTCATAAAACATATTCTGAAAGACCTGAGGAGTCAAGGTATTGGGAGGGATGGTATATGTGTGGCCTTAGACAAAGCACTTCAGACTGGGGCCAGTTCCCCATCCAGAAATGGAAATTGAGTGGACAGTTTCTAATGGCTTCACAATCCTACTAAATCCTAAAGTCCTTAGATCTCAGGAAATGTATGTAAACATGAAGTCCAATCCTAAAAGAGGGCATAAAAAGCTCACTTAAACATCATCTGTATCATAGTCACCTCAGAAAAAATAAATACTTTATCTCCCAGTAGTAACTAAGACAGTTCTCTGATGCCTGAGGAAAGCCTTACAGGTTTCTTAAAGAAAGTTTCTAAAGGTTTCTTAAGGAATGTATTCAGTATGTCAGTTGCCTGTGCCTGGATCAGACAAGGCTCAGTGGCTTGCATCCTCTCATCACAGTTCTATTCCACAATTGTTACCCTCCTAGAAGCTCCCGTTCCATTGTTCCTCCTTGAACCTCTCATGTTCCATAGCTAACAAACTCTTCTTAAGTCTAGACCTCTTTACCTCATACACTTTTCTCTTAACTCTTTACTTAGAAATATCCTTCCCTGGAGAAGACCCTACCTCCCTGATCATATCTTCCAGGGTAATTGATTCATTCACTCATGCTTCCTGAAAACAGTTGACCAGGATGAGAGATGGTTTATTACTTACAGGCCCTCCTCCAGTTGCCTTCATTCTGTGAACCAAATATGTTATTATCCATTTACTTTTCTTTTCATTGCTAGGACTCTGGATTTGACTTTACTACCCACTTCTTGAAAAAGAAAAGTCTCTCACAGGCTTCTTCTTTGTCCTCCCACTTTCTTGTAGATTCTAAAATATTCATGATTACATTACTTAACATGTGAACATTTTTTTCAACTTAATTCAACCAACATTTAATAGTCATTTCCTGAATGCAAGATGCTGGTTTAGGTGCCTGAATACAAAGAGGTACAATTTCATTTCCATTTTGAAACATATATAGGGAAAGATTCTTCTGTCACTAGTCGTGGTGTGAAAACCCTTGTATCTGCTCAATGATATTTAAAATACAAGATCTTACAACTATCCTTATACCCAAAAAATACATGTCCCATATAAAATATCACCTCTTTGAAAGTGACTTTGCTGATGTTTTCATTCACTAGAAATAATTTCTTTATTTAAGAAGTGGAATAACTTTTATCAATTTGTCTTATATATTTATTTCCTTTCCATAGTATACTTAGATTTATGGGCTACAATTATTTATATACTATAATTAATTTTATAATTATGGTTTTAGGGCACATATTTAATTTTTGATCAACTCTAGCATTCAGTATTCACTGAATACAATAAATACATGATAATTATACAAGTGAATTAGATTAGTAATTATTGATTTTCTTATCCCTGTCATTGTACCTCAGAAGATTGAATAGGTTATATAGATGTAAATGAAAATTATAATTGTTGACACCTTATTTGTTTTCATTTTAGGAAATTGGATGTGATATACAAGGGGATTAATCAAGTGGATACATTCTAAACTATAGATCATCAAGGAAGAGAAAGAGAATATATTTAAATACTTGGAAATTTCAACAAATACATTGTTCTCCAAGGATCAGCTTCTGGGACCTGGAACCATAATGTTATGGAACAGTAGCAATTACTAATTCTATGCCTCAGAATGATTTGATGAATATTTAAAGGAAGCTTCTAGAGATCTAGAGCAAAAGTTGGTAGACCTCTGCTTGTAATTTTGGGAAATTATATCCATTAATATTTCCAGGTTTAATGAAAATTATCCAGATCTTCAAGGGGAAATTTGAAGACAAGTAGTTTCAAGATGAACTGTTGTAGGCCTGGGGAAGTTTTGTCCTTTATCAAAATTGGGGGGAGTCAATATGAATGAAAGATTAAAATGGAGAAAACCTTCATCCACAGAAACTGGTGCTGAGCATATAACTGGGTAACCATGTCTCACTTGGCACAATATGCTTCTGAAGAGTGCAAGGAAAAGGAAATCTGCCACAATAAGCAACAGAGTGATGCTGTGATTCAGAAACCTATGGGTATGGAGATGATAAGCAATTGTCCATTTGGAAATCACATTGGCTTATCTGCTCAAGAAATCCCATGCTCTAAAAATAAAAATATTCAATATTTGAAAAGTATTTCTTTCACTAATCCCAACTTTATGAACATAAGAAACCACAAAGTAGAGAAAACTAATAAGCATGACAATTGTGGGAAAAGGCTCAATTATACCTCAAAACCAGATATTCATAAAAAATTCTCCACTGAAGATAAGATTCATGTATGTGATGAGTGTGGGAAGAGTTTCAACTGGAAGAAAAGTCTACTTATTCATCAGAGAGTCCACACAGGAGAAAAACCATATATATGTGATACATGTGGGAAAAGTTTCAGTCAGAAGAACAGTTTATTTGATCATTTCAGAGTCCACACAGGAGAGAAACCATATACATGTGATGAGTGTGGGAAGAGTTTCAGTCAGAAAATAAATCTAATTACTCATCATAGAGTCCATACAGGAGAGAAACCTTACATATGTGATGAGTGTGAGAAGAGTTTCAGTCATAAATCAAGTTTAGTTGATCATTGCAGAGTACATAAGGGAGAGAAACCATACCTCTGTGATGAGTGTGGGAAGAGTTTCAGGCATAGCAAAAGTCTAGTTGGTCATCACAAAATCCACACAGGAGATACACCATACATATGTGATGAGTGTGGGAAGAGTTTCATTTGGAAGAAAAGTCTACTTATTCATCACAGAGTCCACACAGGAGAGAAACCATATGTTTGTGATGAGTGTGGGAAGAGTTTCAGTCAGAAGATAAGTCTAATCACTCATCACACAGTACATACAAGAGAGAAACTATATATATGTGATGAGTGTGGGAAGAGTTTCAGTTATAAGGCAAGTCTATTTGTTCATCGCAGAGCCCATACGGGAGAGAAACCATACATATGTGATGAGTGTGGGAAGAATTTCAACTGGAAGAAAAATCTACTTATTCATCAGAGAGTCCACACAGGGGAGAAACCACATACTTGTGATCAGTATGAGAAAAGCTTCAGCAAGAAAACCATTTATTTAATCATTATAGAGTCCACCCATATACATGTGATGAGTGTGGGAAGAGTTTCAGGCATAAAAAATGTCTAGTTGCTCATCACAGAACGCATAAAGGAGAGAAATTATACCATTGTAATGAATGTGGGAAGATTTTCAGTCAGAAGATACATCTAATTACTCATTACAGAGTCCATACATGAGAGAAACCATAGATAGTGGTGACTGTGGAAAAACTTTCAGGCATAATGCAAATCTACATGATCATCAGATGGTGCAGAAAGAGGAGAAACCATATGCATGTCATGAATGTGGGAAAGGAGTCTGCCATGGGTTTGCATTTTACATTCAAAAGAGTTCATTACACAGGAGAGAAACCCTATATACATGAAGATTCTGGAAAGGGATTATGTTAAAAAATTCTCCACATAGAATAAATAGAAGAATCCATACAAGAGAGAAGTTGTAATTTTTTGTGATGAATATGGGAAGGGTTTCTATAAACTCTCATATCTTCGTAATCATCATAGAATTCATGCATGAGAGAAGCTCTTTTCATGTGATTTGTATGGGAAAGGATTCAATCAGAAGTCAAAGATTCATATTCATCAGAGTTCCCAGGTAGAAATACATCTTTCAATTTAACAATTATGGGAAGATAGTATTAAGAGCACAAATCTAAATTAACCCAATTACATTAATTTACTGCTGTGATGGAGTAACTGCATTTTGGTTTGCAAATTTGAGGCATTAAATACCTTGTGTTGAGAACAATTCTTCTGAAGGTTTCCATTTCAAGGGAAACATTAAACTCATGAAATATATGATGCAGTTATTCTCTATTTTTACTTCAAATGCCCTACAAACTTGACCCTTCAGTATATACCATGTGTGTAAACTCTCTTCCTTTGGACTCATTTCCTTGACTGAATATTCCTCCAGGAAACTACATAGAAGGGACTGAATTCATTTCCCCAACTTGCGAGCCATCTCTTATATACCCCTTCATTCAAATTCATTCCTACATACAGCTGTAGAATAATGCCATTTTTCTTAAGCAATTGATGAAATTGTTTCCTAAATATCAATGAAATTTAACTCATTAACCCATTCCTATATAAGATTTCCATCCATATTATGATAACTTGTTTTCCCTCTGTAAGTCCTCATATTAGGCAATTACCACTTTTCTCTTCAAAATCTCTTCCATACCAGACATTCCCTATATTCTCCTACTTAAATTATGTACAGAGGTTGTCCATGAGTACAATATTTCAATTCTCCTCCACTTACAGTTGACAGGAGGAGAGGTTTATTGAAATTTTTGATGTCTAAGAGAGAAGTTGAGATGAAGTTTATAGTATAGATGACAGAAAAGAAATGAGAGATTTAGGAAATAGTTTTGGTCCTAAGCTTGCCTAGGAGGTATAAAAGAGTCAGGATGGGAGACATTTTTTTCAGACAAAGTCTAATGTTCCATGGCTGCCCAAAGTAGAATATGTAATTTTTAGTTGTACCAACATTTCATCCTTCAAAAGGGGGAAGCTTTCAGAGTAAAATTATTAGTCTGCACTTGATTTTACAAGTATAAATATCAAGACTGAAGAGAAAAAATTAATGAGCAATTTCATGGGAAATGACATTTTTCTCTTAGAAATTACAACAGAGGAGAGATACAATATGCCATCATCCTTAAATTTAGAGGGAGGAGAATTCCTAATTTTTATTGTTTTATTAAAAATGTAAAATAAACTCAATATAATGAATGGGTTACCGTTTCTGATACTCCATTGCATTAAGCAATTTATCAAGAACTGATCAAGAAACCACTATGTAATGTATTATGGTAGGATATTGACATGCAACATACACACTTTCCCCTCTTTCCTTCCCTCCCTTCTTGTCCTTCTGATCATGCCTTATGAAGAGATCAGGGGAAGGTAATGCTTGGTTTGGCTCCAGGGAGATATCCTGATGTTAACACATATTTTATCCCATCTAGGTGGGAGGATAGATAAAGAGACCAAAGCTAAGAGCATGGGAGTTACATTCCTAACATCCCTATATTGATGTCTCTGTATTGCAGGTGAATTACAGACAAGCCTAGTCTGAAGACGTTATGCCTGGATGGCCAGAGGGCAGTGAGAGCAACATCCTGGCTACAATACAGTGATCATCAAGCCACTTAGCCTAAGTGACTTAGCTTAGTTTTGGTTCAATGGAATTTTTCAGGAAAACTTCTCCTTCTAGGATACCTTCTTGGTGATGAGAAGAACGCAACAACTTTCTATACCCTGCCAGCTCTAACAACTCTGTTTTCAATCACATCCTTATTGACTTACATGCTAATCTTTCATTGAGTATTGAAGAGTTTCTAGTTTCTTTCTTTTCTGAAGCTGCCTCTTGACACGTACACAGTTAGACTTTGTGTAAAGCCCCTGAATAATTACCCAAAGACAACTAGATTTGGTTTTCCTTTGCTAAGGTCCTGCTTTTACTATGTGGCCTTGGGCAAAGGACCTAATGTCTCTGTGCCTCAGTTTCCCATACTCTGCTATAACCTACTACAGGAGGATCATATGGGGATCAAATGACATAATGGATAGGAAATCTATGAAAGAAAATATAACATATTTTGTCTATGTAACGAGTAACTCTTTGAAGGACATCTCCAAGTCTCTTCATTATTGTCAGTCCTGTGTTATTGTTTATAACATGGAACATGGAACATGAAAGTGTGGGACAAGGTTATAGCTCACTAGGATGTCTCTATGGGGGATTTCAGTGTCATGGTGTTCTCCATTTTATACCTCACAGACATCATAGGCTTTGCAAAATTTCACTGCTGGAATTTTTAAAATATATTTTAAATTACTATTTCTTCCTTTTTTTACATCACCAGACTTTCTCATATTGCCTGCTATCATTTTTCGCTTAAGGAAGAGAGAAGAGAAATGATTTTACAAATTGTTCATACATCAAAAGAGTCCAAAAGAAATGCAATATACCACATCCCTGGGAGTGCATCTTCTCCTATCCATTCTTTGGAGTCATATTTGTTCTTTATGATTTTACCAAAGCTCTTTTTGATTGTTTTGTAGTTTTTCTATCCATTTCTATTTCTGTACTTATTCTGTATATTGATTTTTGGCTTTGCTTACTTGCTATGAACCAAATCATCTAGAATGTTCCATGCTTGTCAGTGTTCATTAAATTTATAAAGTGGTATAGCATAATAATATTGTACTAAAATCATATGCCACATTTTATTTAGCCATTTCCCAACTGATGGGAAACTCAAACTGACCATATGACTACCGTTTATACTATGCCTCCTTTTTGCTACCTTCTTGCACAGGAGTACTGAGTTCTGGCTTGAGAATAAGGAGCTGCAATCAGGTAAGGGCAGAGCTATCCCAAAATACTGCCCCTGGCAAAGCTGGTCAAAGTGCTGGAAGATCCTTGATAAGGGATCTAGTAGCCAGGCTCAGGCTGGAGCAATTGCCTGGGGTTGATTTGTATGATTTGCTACAGTAGTTAAGGGTTTCTACTGGGAGAGTCTGTCTGCCTAACTCTCTGGAGTCAAGAAAGAGGCTTAATTCTTCCAGAGGCTTCCTTGTTGTGTCCTAAACTTCTCTTTCTAGACTTCAATTTCCTGCTGGACTGAAACATTCTGCTCTACTGCCCTCAATTTTCTCCCCACCCACAGTTGCTATATATTTCTCTCCTTCAGCCTGGGTGTGATTCCAGAGTCAAGGATGGAAACTCCAGTCCTAAAGCATTAGGTTTCCCAGAACATCAGCATATCCATGTTCACTAGCATGAAATGCATCCTTGTGTTTTAGTTTGAGGATCAGTGTCATATTTTCTTGATAGAAGAGACCCACTTTAACGATTTCAGAGTACTGTGCAGTATAATTCGATATGTGGAAGAGAAGGAATGGAATATAAGAAGGGGTGGCTAAAGCGTACAAGTCAGGTATTTTCTCCCTCTCCTCCAGTGACTCCTCTGCTTCTGATCCTTCACTCCCAGGATACTGTGGAAGACCTCCCCACATGCTTGGTCCTTCCACCTAGATGCAGAGATGGTTCAGTTAAGTTCAGTTTTGAAAGAGAGTAGAGAGAAGAGGTAAGTCAGGCTTGGGAGAAGGCAAATTGTGAGTAGTGCTGAAACAGTGCAGAACTGCTCACAGGACAGTAGTGAAATAAGATCAAGAAATATGAAAGAATGAAGAAAAGGAGATTAGAGCTAAGGAAAGGAGAGTCACTGTGAAAACTTTCAAGTAAAGAAACTAAAGGAGAGGAAAACATTAGTTCAACTGGGGAAAGACAGAGGGAGCCACAAAGACTTAGGAGGGGGCAGCTGGAGGGGGAAGGGAAATTCCCAGGTGTCTAGGATCACATGTGGTAAGCTAGCCAAGTTACACTATTAACCTTGCACCAACTACCTAGCTTTTCCTTGGGATCATCCACTTTCAACTTTTGGGCATATACCTAAAGTATCAAAATAGAATCATTACCAATCTAGTATGGATACAGTCTCATCTTCAGGTTTATGTACATCATTTAACTTTCTTCAGGTCCCCCCAGGAAAAGGGAGCTTCTACTGCCAAGCAAGGCAACAGAACTAAGGAGGCATGATTGGAGCTATAGATGCCCCAGTACAAGAAGTGGATTCTGCAGGTTCTACAGCCCAATTCCCTAATGCCACACCTAAATACAAGACATATGTGATGTCACCAAGCAGGGGCCTCTTCAGCCCCACCCACAATTAGGACTTGGTTTATATGACTTTGGTACCCAAATGAGCAAGGAGCTATGGGAGCTGAAGAGCAGGGAGATTTCATAGGAACTCTCTTTCAAGAAAGGAGGCCAAAGAGAAGGCTGATGCTTACTAAGGGGTCAAAAGCCCAGCTGAAGCAGGAAAAATTTCCAAGGTCTAATTGGCATTGATCACTATGATTTTTATAAATTTCTCCAGTGAGGTTAGTCTGTGTCTACATTGGCCTCTGGAATCAGGAAAGCAGCTTCATTTTTAGGGGTCTACAGCCTGCCTAGGGGTGTTCTAGCCTTTTCACTTTGGTCCCGAATTC